CTTCTCTTGCTCATGTCAAAAACATTTCTGGGCCAAGTTCCTGCAATCATATTAAACGGTACTTTTAGCGCTCATCAACTTTTAATTACATATAAATAACTCATACAATACACTTTTAAATGCCTCTCCCCCCATGCGTCCCTAAATGACAATGGTCTTTCAAATAACTAATTTTGGCACTGGATTTAACAAGTACGAAGGGGCAGCTGCAAATTATCTGCAACGCACATTGATTAATTGTTTGGGGGACTACGCAAATAGTACCACTCGGTTTGCACCGCAATCAGAAAGTAAGAAAGTTTTCTGTTCCACGAGAATAAAATAGAGTAAAATATATATGTGATAAAACACTGGCAGGTTCACCCATTTGCATGAGGACCTACAACAGTATTTAACATACTGCATGGATTGGAGGAGTCTACCCATTCAACACCTTTTCAACAAAGCTGACAGTGAGCCAAGTTATTTACATCACGGGCATCATTTACTCGGCCTCAAAAAATAACTTACAACCTAATTGTGCGTGTAATAATTGAGCCATAGGAGCATAACCTCCTACAACAATAACCGGAATGGAACAATTCAATATTTCGGACCGAAAACAAGTAAGCACTATACCTTGCGATTAATAACGAAAAGCGGCGATGTCCACTCTAAAATTCTGGTTAAAATCCTATGATCAATGATAGTTATATGAGTAGGTATTATCGGTATTTGGCAGAGACGCCGATCGTCATTGTTCGCCTACGTTTCCATATATGGGGTGAGTGGGGGAGGAGAGGGGTAGGGCACGCGGCAGGTTCGACCTGTTCGACCGGCACGTCGTCACCCTACCAACAGAGATTGGTTAGAAAACGTCAAAATGATGAAAATTCGCATCACTAAGACATCTTTTTGGACCGCTAACGTCATTTTCACATCACTAGTACGTCAATCAGACGTTTTGTGACAAATCTCTGTTGGTAGGGCATGACCACATTGTGGTCAGGTCGTTGGGTGATCAGTTCATGATGCTGTCGACGGTCCCACCTGCCAGCATTAAAACATTTGTTGGCGATCAAATACCAATCGTAAATGTCAGTAAGAAACGACTGCTTATAAAACGGCGCTACCCCGCGATCTGGCGCTACTCTGTGGTCTGGCGGTACCCCGCGGCGAGGGTATACGGCGATACACCATCTGCCCGATATTTTCTCATACTGCCGTAACTTCGAATTCCATTGGTGGTTTTTCCCTTCCATCGTTGGCTTCGCCAAGTATCCTTCGCCAAGCACTCTGGCGTGAACAGTTAAATTTAGAGGAAAAAAAATTAAAAGCATCATTTCATCAATGTATTTCAAGTAATACAATTTTATTCCTAGTCATGGCAAAATTTGATTTCCAAGTGATTACTAAAAAATTTACAATTCTAAAGGGGAAGTACATCTTTTATCTTAACACCGTTGGGTTCAAAATAATTTTCTGGTCAAAAAAAGGTATTAGACAGCCTGATAGTGGAAGGAATGCGACTTTCAAAACTTTCGAATAAGTGTTTTTGATTTTTGGCAATGACTATAACCATAATAGACAGCTATGTATGAGCAGACAAATGGTCTATGCTGCATGTCATGTTTCTACATTTTTGCAATGTAAATAGGATGTCCTCCATTTGGAGATGGAAATGGAAATAAAATTTTACAACCCGCTGCAAAAAATGCATTTAAAAACAGACAATTAATTAGGATAGACTTGAGATCATTGTATCAGATAATGGGATGCAGTCCTGAGCTGTTGCGTTACCACCAATAAAAGGAAACTAAGAGAAATGTAATGTACCTCAAACACCTTATAATTTTTCTATCAGACTCAGTAAGTATGATGACAGAATGCCAGCAGAAGCCATATACAGTAGAATAGAAAATCTCAATTTAATTTATGACCTGAGGCCAAATCTGAGGACATGTTGAGGGCCAAGTAGACAAGACTGCATTCTTGTATATGTTTGCAGTTTTTGCAAATATTTCCATTTCAATTCAGTGGTATGTTGTAACAAAAATTCAAACACTTTAGTATAAATTT